TTGGTGTTAATTTGAGGGCTAAAAGTGTAATTTCACAATGATAATATATCTTTTTTGTCATACACAATTCCAAAGGCTGTTCCGTTTGCGTCGTTTGTGAATTACAGTCGCTTTTTACGACAACTATAGTCTACAAATGTGATCTTTCGTCAGAATCCTAGCCCACAATCATAGTCATTATTTTTGTGTTATCCGCTTAACCAATATCAGAACACGTCACTAGACATAATGTTGACGTCAATTTATTTTTTTAGCCTTTAAATTAACACCAACACGGTAGAAGATCAAAAAAAGGACCATTTGTGGAAAAATACCCTTAAAAAAAGGACTACAGGGGTAATATTTGATAATAAAGGACTAAATATGGAAACCCCCCTATTATAAAGGACCAATTATGGAATTTACTCATAACTTTTAAACACAAGATGCTATTAAGAAATAAAAAATGATTCAATTATACCATTAATATGGTCCACCGCCCACCACCCCAAACCCCTACGGAGTAATAACTAAGGATTCGTTTGGAATTGACATAATTGAAAATTCAAATTCTATAGAATTAATTTGGGTGGAATTGAGTTCTCCAATTTGAATTCATTTTTTGGTACTACCAATTTTAAATTTACATATTTTGTACTACCAAACAGTAAAATTAGAATTATTATATGCAACTTCAAACAGAGCTTAAATTTTTTATCAAGCCGTTTTGGGTTTAATAACAGTGACCAAAACGGGTGCCCATCTCGACCCAACCCGTGTTTAATTAGCCCTTCCAAACACACTCGACCCAATATCAAAGGGATTGCAGAAGTAATTAATTAATCCAAATGCAAAAGTAAAACAACTAAAATTAAGATTACAAGAAAAAATGTGCATAAATTATGAATAATGTAAAAAGTACGTAACAAAATTAAAAAAAGGGAAAATCAAGGGAGGCAGCAGCAACCGGGAGGAAATCCTTTGTAGGCCCCTCTAGGCGGCCGGCAAACGCCACCTTTGGGGTACCCTTCCTTCTTACAAAGAGTGGCGCAGTCCCCTATCTTTGGGTCACATGCCCAATTACACAATGGCTCTAGTCCTCCCTCCGTTACCCCTAGTAAAAAAAAATAGAATAAATCATTACCTTCACAATTTCAAGTTTTCAACACAAAATATACGGAGTAACACATTTTTTATCTATCCGTCAAAGTATATTTGTTTAGTTTGACTTTTTCGAATCAAACTCGATAAAATTTAAACTCCAATCAAACAAAAATTACAGTGTATTTTAATATAAATATAATTTTATTAGATTTATCTTGTTGACATCTTTCAAAATTTTATTCCATTGTATTAACATACTCCCTTCGTTCTTAAAACACTACTTTCATTTTTTTTGTCTACCATAAAATACTTCCACCTTCAATTAAAAAACTACATTTACTCCTATTTTTCCTTACATTATCTATCACATCATACTTTTTCACTAATAATCTACCTATCACATCTTACTTTTACCTATCACATCAAGGGTAAAATCAGAAATTCAATCACAAATATACACTCCTTATTTCTTCTAAAAGTCAAAATAGAAATTATTTTATGAAACGAAAGGAGTGCAATACATAATCACTGTGATTTAATTTCAAAATTTATCCAATTTGGCTTGAAAAATTCAAACTGAATAAATATACTGGAAGAGAAATAGTATTAGGCCCCGTTTGGTACACGGAATTCAAACTATGGAATTGGAATTGAAGACTTCAATTCCAATTAGGGTCCGTTTGGTATACGGAATTGACGGAATTGGAATTGAATTGGAATTGAGATTCCATGGGATTCAATTCCATAGAATTGAATTCTGCCAATTTCAATTCATTTTTTACACTATCAAAATCCAAATCCAGATAATTTTTGTGCTACCAAACACCATAATTGGAATTGAAGCTCTCAATTCCAATTCCATAGTTTGAATTTCATGTACCAAACGAGGCCTAATGGTATTTGGTAGCACAAAAAATATGTGGATTTGGAATTGATAATGCAAAAAATAAATTGGAATGAGTGAATTCAATTCTATGGAATTGAATCCCATGAAATTTTAATTTCAATTCCATTAATTTCGTATATCAAACGGACCCTCAGGCCCCGTTTGGTACATCGAATTCAAAGTATGGAATTGGAATTGAAAGCTTCAATTCCAATTTTGGTGTTTGGTAGCACAAAATTTATGTGGATTTGGAATTAATAGTGCAAAAAATGAATTGGAATGGGTAGAATTCAATTCTATGGAATTGAGTCCCATGGAACTCCAATTCCAGTTCAATTCCAATTCCGTCAATTCCGTATACCAAACGGACCCTTATTTGTTTTGAAAGTTACCAATGTTAGAAACGAAAGCGAGGCTGATGGCTGCAAAGAAGAAGCACACAACGAAAGCTTTACCCATCTTCATTATATTATACTCCGTATTCTTCTTCTCAATTATATATTTTATTTTATGCTGAATCTTTATGTGGGAATATATTAGCTAGCCATATTTATATGTAAAAATGTTATCGTTAATTTTGGAGAAAGTTCAATAATGCATTTAATTTCTAAAATACATTCGTGCATATTAGTTAACAAATTAATTATTTACCGATGGTTCCCATTTACTCATTAAGAGCGCGATTTCCTGCTAAATTTGAACACCAATTTACTTACCATTTACTTAACACAAATTTAAAAACTTTATAAAAACAGCAATAACAAAATTAGAACTATTTTAGGTAAAATATGCTCACTTGTTATAGCCTTTCAGAAGTAGTGCCCTAAAAACATAGCTCAAAATTCATGAACTTGTCGATTATGTAAAGTAATAGATTCAAATAATGGCCTCCATTTTAATATATTATCCAAGTGTTACTCTATATTTGAGAATTATTTCATAATCAGTCTTTTGATCCATATATGAAGTATTGCTTTTCACATATAGTTCTCAAGGGATTATGGAATAGTTTTCAAATATCAATAGTCACGAATGTAATATCTTAAAGTTTAGAATTTTATATAGAAAATCTTCTGTTATAAAGAATCATTTATGAAATTTATTCAAATTTATTTCATGCCGCACCTACTGTCCAGAAATAGATAATGTATTCTTCATTTTCAAACCCAGGGAAATTGCATTGGAAATTTTTTTGACAACCCACCTTTTTATCAATTTATGTCTTGTATCTTCTAAGAGACCCGTCTTTTAAAATAAATTTATATGAATCGTAGTTTATGTTTGGTCTTTTTTATATATAAAAACACACATTTTAAAATTTTGTTCTTAAAAAATCATCTTTTACATTGGTTTTTGTTTTACAAAACCACCTTTTAGTTTAATTAGTTTTGGCATGACAAACCACTTTTTATGTTACCCAAAAGTGGAGAATATAAAATTCAGAATTTTTTACGCTATTTTCCTCAAACTCTTTAAAAATTGCGTAAATACCCCCTAAAATTTGAAAATTGCATCAATAGTCCCTGGACTTTTTAAAACACTGTGTAAATGGTTTCTTTGTGCCGGGTTTGAAAGTGCGTTAATCACAAACTCTTCATCAATTCATGGCATCTTCATCAAGCTCCAACAAGTATATTAATGAGCGTGTGATTAACGCATTTCCAAATTTGACACAGATGAACCATTGATGCAGCGTTTTAAAAAGTTCAATGACTATTGGTGCAAATTTTAAAGTTCAAGGGGAATACACACAATTTTTGAAGAGTTTGAAGGTAAATGGCACAAAAAAACTCATAAAATTTACGAAAAATATCTTCATAAATACAGAATGTGTATCAATGTATGATTGTCTCTATTTGTCAACCTATTACATACTGCATAAGGGATGAGTCTCTCAAACCAAAAACAAGAAGAGTCAACTAACTTTGAACCTAATGTTTACTCAAAACTCCATTGATGCTCTTTTATTCCCAACCATTGTTGATTTCCTAAACTCAGAACTCACAGTCTGCTTCTTCTCTTCATCATCAACAACGAACCTCGAACATTCTTCATTGCCCTCAGTCTCTTCATCTGCAAAAAACAAGAAAGGTGTGCACACAGATGATCACAACATGCTCAAGTACTAGAGATATTGATATGTCTCATTAAAGATGACAATGCAGCAGGAACCTGAATCAGTGGCTAATGAGAAATCAGTGAGACGACGAACGCAGTCCTTGAGTGCTTGGAGCTCGGATTCTTTCTGATGGAGTTTGTGGTGGGAGTTTCGCAGCTCGGACTCTAATTCCACTATCTGGCTTTCCTGTTGCTCAATCAGTACTTGGCTCAACTTTTGGTGCAGCTCAGAGGGAATCACTCCGTTGGGTTGGTGCGCGTTCAAATCACTCATACCCTCTTGCTGATAATGAAACCCTTCACCCAAAGCTCCCTGCTTTCAAGAAAATTGTGTCATTTTAGGCAAGATTTCATATTTGCAGTGTAATTATATGGGAATCATCTCCACATCAGAAATCTCTGCACTTACTCCAAAGCAAGAACCATCTGAGACACACCCATGGAGTTTCTGAAGTTCAGATTGAAGCTCAGCTTGGAGCAGATTCATTTCCATTGCATCCGGATGCATTTCATCTGTAAGAACACTACTTGCATATTCACCTTCCTCACTTACAGGAAAGGCAAAGATTCTTTTGTCACCGCCGTGGTTCTCAGCGCATGACTTAACCAGCTTTGAGGTTTCATCCTCTGAGATTATCGTTCCAAGCCCGGGTTTAGAAGTTCTTCTTTGAGAAATTTGATCCTTCAATTCCTCAACAGCCCTTGAGGTTTCAGCCATTGCAATGTTTAGCTCATTGATTTCGCCTCTCTGGGCTGACATCATGCACATCATTCCAATGCCAACACCCCATCCAAATATTGAGTTTCCTGCTAGATGACACCAGGAACTAAGACTATCAACTACATTTGGAAGTCGGGAAATCGTAGGGAAAGAGGGAAAATAAAATTTGATTAAAACCTTTTCGAAACTTACAAAACTTAAATTTCCTATGCACTTTAAGAAATTAAACAAAGATTTAGATCAAATTAGTATAAGCTTTTGAACAAGCATTTGAAATTGATATTCAATGTACTGAGTTTGAAGCTTTTTTAACAAAAAGAATCCTGTCACATTTTCTTTCCTCCCTAACAGTGCATAAACCACAAGTTACAAACTAAGCAATGTACAATCCATAGATAAATTTTCAGGTTTCCAAACGAATTAAACAAACATGAAATCAACTTCAAGCAACAAAGATAATAAACAGAAAACAGCATTAAAGATTGGAATTTGGAAAAGATCTAACCTTTGGAAGAGCAATTATCGCATTTTCCAGGGGCACTTCTGCTAATTCTTCTCTTCTTCAAGCAGACATAGAACTTCTTCTCCAAACCCTTGTTGAACCCACACTTCTTGACCACTCTTCTCCCATCACCATTTCTCTTAAACCCCTCCAGTTTCCCAGTATTCCTTCCAGACCCACACTCAGTTTTCTTCCCCAACTCGTTCGCCCCACTTTCTGAACTTGAAAACCTAAAGATTGATTCTGCACCTAAAGATTCCCTCTTTGCCCCAACTTCAACAGGAAAAATTGAATCTTGGGCCGCAGAACAAGGTGAAATGAGGCTATTTTGGTCATGGGGTTGGTCGGGTTCTGGGGAATGTGAGTGGATGAGTGTTTTGGCTAGAAACCCAGATCCTGCTGTAAATGCTGCTCCCAAAGCAACTTGCCACATTGTATTCCGCAAGAATCAAACTGTAAAGTTTAAATTTTGAAACGAGAGGAAGGGGACGACCCTGAAGCTTCTTTAGGGAGAGGGCGAGTCATGACTCGTGAGTGAGACAAGCGTTAAATGATTTGTACGGACAGGTTGGGTAAATGTCAAAATTTGTCAAGCAAATCTTTTGAAGGTATTTATTATTTAATGAGGACTATACCCCCACACGAGCCCATTTGGATATGGACTTGACATTTTAGGATACTGTATCGGGTTTTATAAACGGTGGTCCATATACTTTAGATCTGGGCTCAAATTTTATGTACAAGCCCACAGGTCGGTCAGACACTCAGACCCGAATAAATAATACGGAGTACTCCGTAATATTTATTATTATTATTATCATCATAAAATGATATCTATGTAGCCAACCCTACAAAGTAGGGTAAGGCTTTATTGTTGTTGTTGTATCATAAAATAATACTCTGGAGTAATAACAACAACATAAATATTGATAATAATAAAAAATAATATTGTTTCAAATTATTATAAACAAACATATACTTTTATGAAAAAAGAGAAAATTATATACATATTTAATAAAATGAATACACTGCAAAAAAACACATTTTATTACTATGTATCACACACTGATAATGATATTTAAATAAATAATAGTAAGATTATCAAACAAACCACATTTTATACGTAGGAAGCTTAGTAGGCTAAATACCCCAAGGCATACAAATAGAGGGAGGTCTTTCATACAATTCTCGAGTCTTATTATTTCATCTCTATATTCATTCTTATTCCCGTAAGTCTTGAAAATCGTGATATTTATATAAACTAATTGGTGGAATTAGGTCATGTCTTTTCACTTGATCTGATTGATTCTGATCTAAATGGAATAAGTTCTGATTTGATCTATCTGGTATGAACTGAATTAGTATGATCTTATCTGATCTAAATGTAATTATGTTTAAATCTATTTATGATCTGATCTGATTTTAATAAGAAAAAATAATAAGTAAAAAATAAGTTGGAGAGAACAGGGCCTTAAAGTTGGTACATATTTAATTTTTAAACTATTCATAATATTGTTAAATATATTTTAAAGAAATTAAAATTGGAAAAAATATTCTAAAAGGTATTATGTATTTATTTATATTTTTTCAGTACAAAATGTAAGTGCTAGTGTGAACTTAAGTATTATAAAAATAAAGCTTATAGCACATTGAGACGATTTGAATCCGATGACTCTAAGTATTAGACATATAATTCTCAATTTGAACCTGAATTTATCCAAATTCACTACAACCCGAACTCAAAGTGACCAAATTTAATATTCGACCTAAGGGACTACTCAAGAGTGCTCTTAGACTTTCTTTTTTTCTTTTTAATGAAAACATTTGTTCCTAATCTTCCTATACTTTGAACTTTATACTACGAGACTAGTTATTAATTAATGTTTTGTGGGCTTCTAACGATTAGAAGAGAATGGGCGCGTGCCGAGTGGGCTTTTTCATTGTATACAGTACATTTTTTCGCGAGGCCCATCTTATATACTTTCCCATTTTAGGTGTTGCTATTTACGGAGTAAAGAAATATTACCTCTCGAAATATTTGTCCTGTTTGACTTTTTTTGCATCAAACAGGATAAATTTTAAGCATTAATTAAGTAAAAATTGTAATGTATATTAGTATAAAAATAATTTGAAAGCTGAATTAACTTTTGCTATTGACACTCCAAAACACATTATTCATTAATCATTTCCTACACTAATGCATTTTGGAGTGCCAATAGAAAAAATAGAGTGCAAACATCATTTCTCTTTTTTAATTCATAGTTAGAAAGAATTGAAAAAAACTAGAAAAAGTAGAAAAAATTGAAAGAAATTTTTTAAAATATATGACAATAAATTGAAGAAATTGAGTAAAGTTTTAAAAAAACTGAAATAAGAAGAGTTGGAACTTAATAATTCCAACCCAAAAACACATAAGAAATCCCATTGGATAGGAGTAAAAACTTTAAATATATGAAAATAGGAGTTTTAATTCTTTTAAAAGCAAAATAAAAAAATAATGACAGTGTGGCGATCAGTCACACAGTGTCGATCTGTAACGGTACTCTGGTGGCCGGCAGCGACGAATGACAGTATGACAGTGATAATGTGACAGTTACATTGTGACAATGTGGTGAGTGTGACAGTGTAAATTTTTATTTTTGTCTTAAAAGATTTATAATTTCTATTTTGGTATTTTCATAATTTTTTTCTATCTATGGAGTTCTCCCATAAAACATTAAACCCTTAATTAGATAGACTTTACCGCTTTGGGTCTACAGCTCGTCTACTTAAAAGTTTATAGTTCTTCTACGCTTTGTTCATTTGAGTTGGAATTCTAGAATTGGATGTTGGAAGAAATCATAAAGAATTAAAAAATGTTGGAAGAATTTAAATATTAAAGAGTCACTCAGTTAAGTTATCACCCAAATAATATGTAAAAAACTTCTACTTTGGAAAAAAAATCATTATTGTTTGTGTTTGAGGTGCCATGTTATAAATTTGGATATATAACATTATTGTATATTCATCATATATAAATATATTTTTCAAGTCAATTTTGAAATGAACTGAAAGAAATTAGAAAGAGTTGGAAGTTAATTTTTCCCATTTAAAAGAACAGAATCTCGATCAGTAACTACATAAATATGTAAACTAAATTGAAAATAAATTCAATCATCATCATAAACCAAATTTTGTAGTTATTTGATGCAGATTTAGTAAAATAAAATTTCAAAAATATATAATAAATTTTGGCTTAAAAATGAAAGTGTAAAATTTATTTAGAAATCAAACTAAATCGGTATTAAATTATTAATATATTCATGCATTTGAGAGAATATATTAGTATTCTAATTTATGGTATTTGAACACCCACATATCACAGTATATAATATATAGTGGGTGACTTGTATTTTGCCAATATCACAATAATTAATCAGAATGGGAATTTATTGTCTTATTCTATAATAATATTTCTGTAGTTCTATGAGACAAAAACTCAACAAATAACTATCATGCCAGCGCCCGGCTTGCAATTCCATGTGCACTTTAATCTATACCCATTCACCCACAAAACAATTAATTGTCTATTGTTTAGTTGAACATCCATTATAAAAAAAATGTAATATAGACATTTATGTGGATTATTTTTTGTTGAATTGGTTATCCAAACAGAAATCTTCTTGAATTAAAAAAAATCAGCTAAATAGGAGCACATAAAATATACTCCGTAATAAAAATACCAAAATAAAAACTCTATGTTTTTATCTCCAAATTAGATGTTTGCACTGTGATAATGTATTAATGTGACACTCTATATGATTATTTAACAATACTATGTGATTTTATATATTGATATGATTGACATTGTATATGAATTTTAATATTTATATTTAAGAAATAAAAATATTAAACTTTTATTTTGATATATTTTCTAGGAGTAGGAACCATCAATTTTTTATTTGGAGTACCGGAAGTGTTCGAAATAGACGAGTGTTATTCATTGACACTAGATGACAATGTCAACAGAACCTTATTTAATGTACGAATTGAATACGATTTTCTTACTTTTAAAAATCTTTGCACATACCCTAACCTTAATAACATAGGTTGACATTAAATATTAATGTAAAAAAAAAACGTGGTGTAATTAGATAGATACCTATAAAAGGATTGTATTGATCGACTTTTCAATCAAAGTTGTTGAATTGAGTTGCAAAATACTCTCTCCCGTTCAAGAAATGACTTCTCATTTTACGATGTTTAAGCGAAGAGTGCTACTTACATGGTCCCAAAGTCCACATTAAAAATATGAACATTCTCACATTTTTCACGAGCTTGCTTGCGGATATTCCCTTTTATGAAAAGACTCACTTCTTTTATATTTCAAATGCACTAAGGTTCATATAATGCACATAAATTTTGGGTCTACGGAAGAATTTGTCTTAAGAGTGAAACTGCTTTCCATCCAGTATTAAAAAGTAATGTAGAATTTAATAATTTAAGTACTACGAAGAATATATTCTCCATCCCTAAATGGATGGCATTATGCGACATTTTTGGTCAAATTTTTCATTTTTTTAAAAATCAACTAATCTAATTCATTTAGAAAGGGATGAAGCATTTTCTTTTGGGCAAAGGATGAAGTATTTAAAAACAAATATGTACCTAAACATTTCTTTTCAAGATATGTGGTTATTTGATTATTTTATTTATAAAATGACCTTCGTATATAAGGAAAAAAAGACGCTCTATCTCATAAAAAGGCACTAAAATTTTCACTCCAAGTTTTGACGACAGATGTTTGAAAAATTTTACGGAGTATTTAATTGGATTCATATTAAAATATAGTGAGTAATTTTGATCGATAAGTGTCTTATAAAATTAATTTATTTAAAATTATATTCTCTCCGTCTCTAGAACTTTTTTTCATTTCTCCTGTTCTTTGTCCTAAAATATCTTTCTCATTTCCATTGAAAAATTATTTTAATTTTATCCCTACTAATTTATATCATACGTATCACATCATACATGATTACTATTAATGTATTGATCACATCATACATTTATTAATCACATCATGAGTAATTTTGGAAAATCTATACAAAAACATCATTTCTTTAAATCTCATAAAAGTCCAAATAAAAAGAAGATTTAAGAATGATGAGAGGATTCAATTCGTGATTAAAGTATATACTCCCTTCGTCCCAGAATATTTGTTCACTTTTGACTTTTTTCGGTCAAAATTGATAGACTTTGAACTCAAATTAAATTAAAATGATATTAGATATTGATACAAAAATAAGTTTTTTAGATTTATTATATGAAATATTTTTAAAATATTATTTTATCTAATTAAAATACAATATATATTTCATTTAATTATAGGTCAAAGGCTGAAAACGGTTGACTGAAAAAAGTCAAAACTGAAAAAATACTCAGAGACGGAGATGAGATAGTAGTAATTTGACAAAAAAAGTTAAACGGCAGTCAATTTTACATAATTTAACCATGCAAATAATGGAAATGACTCTTATTTTGAGAAGCAAAAGAATGAATAAGACAAGGATAAGGCCAATTGGAATGGGAGCCTCCAAGCTTGATTGGGTGTGGGCTACAACAAGAATATAATCCTCACCTTAGAATATTCCCTTCTCAATATTTTATCCCCATGCATATCCATCGGCATATTCCCATAAATTTTTTTAAAAAAAAAAAGAAGAAAAAATCACTATCCCCTGTCTATTGCAATTTGCAATTCTTCTCCATTGCATTTAAACCCCTTCCACCCAAACATTTAACGTCTTTTTCTTCCTCTGTTAATTAATTAATTACTTAATTAACCGCGCAACTTAAAAAAAACATTTATTCATCTCTCGGCCCCTTATTTATCCCCAAGTTTCAACAGGTTTCTTGACATTCTTTTTTCACATATATATATAAACGTGCGTTCAGATAGTTTCCCAAGATCAATTAATAGAGATTGACTTTAAATACATATCCCCTGAATATTTATTCAAGCATTTAATCCATTCTTGGAATAAATTAAATTTCCTATCTTGTTATATAACAGATACACAGATAGATAGATCATTGTTGAATTGCCCCTTCTCTTCTTTTCATCATTAATTCACAGCATAGAGCCATGGCTGGGTTCTTGAAGATTTCCATGGCTCTCTGCCTGTGTTTGTTGGCTGTTGGCTGTTTGTGTCCCGCCGCGGCAGAGCTTCAGACCTTCCACCACCCCGCACGGGGCGATGGCAGCCTCATCAGCTTCTTGGTCGTCGGCGATTGGGGAAGAAAAGGGGATTTCAACCAGTCCCGAGTTGCCTCTCAGGTTCTTTTTTTCGTAACGTCTATAATTCGAAAATATATAGTAATAAGTACAATATTTTTTTAACGCGTGATTATGTGACATTAATATATATATATGAATTGGTTGATGATGTGCAGATGGGGAGAATAGGGGATAAATTGGACGTGGATTTTGTTGTGTCCACAGGTGACAATTTTTATGACAATGGGTTAACAGGAAAAGAAGACAAGGCGTTTAAGGAGTCCTTCACAGATATATATACTGCAAAAAGCTTGCAAAAACAATGGTATTCTGGTATGTTTTTTTTTCATTGTCTTGTGTGTGGTTATATTGATGAATTTCTTCATTTTCTGTTTTTTTCTTCTTCTCTAATTAAATAAAAATGTGCAGTTTTAGGGAACCATGATTATAGGGGAGATGCAGAGGCTCAGCTCAGCCCTTACCTTAGGAAAATTGACAGCAGATGGTTGTGTTTAAGGTCTTTTGTTGTGAATGCAGGTCACCTTTGTTTTTTTTTTAAATTCATCTTGGATAAAAAGAATTACTACTATTGCCATTTTGGATATATATATATATATATATATATATATATATATATATATATATATATATATATATATATGGTTTTATGAAAATGTTCTTGCAGATGTTGCGGAGATATTTTTCGTTGATACAACTCCATTTGTGGAAGAATATTTCTCTTCTCCCGAGCACGCGTATGATTGGCGTGGTGTAAATCCTCGCCAGGCTTACCTCGCCGGTTTATTAAAAGTGAGTTGCTACCCTATTCTCACCTGAACCAAAACCCCGACACACACGTTGATGAATCATCATTATATTGATGTGATTAATTCGTTTAGGATTTGGAATCGGCATTGGCGAAATCAACCGCAACCTGGAAAATAGTTGTGGGGCATCACGCGATTAGGAGCGTTGGGCATCATGGCGATACCAACGAGTTGATCGATCGCCTTCTCCCCCTTCTTCGGGTATCATTAATAACACAAACCATATATAACTTCTTTGTTTGGCGAGGTTATAGTGACACCCATTTTGTGTCATCATATTAATTATAACGCTCCTTGAATTGATTATTTTGGTGGTTTTGTATAGTATTCATTAATTATTTGAACGTCCATGAAATGCAGAACTACAATGTGGATATTTATATGAATGGCCACGACCATTGCCTCGAGCACATAGCCGATGATGAAAGGTGAGTCATTAAGTCGACACATCGGTTATTACACTCTTATTTGAACAACCTGTATGTCGTACTCTAATTAACGACAAAATTGAACCTTTTGGTTTATTGAATTGTTTGGTGTGGGCGATTGCAGTGCAATACAGTTTATGACGAGCGGAGCGGGATCGAAGGCGTGGAGGGGAGACGTGAAGGGGTTGAACAAAGAGGGGTTGGCGTTCTTCTATGACGGACAAGGGTTCATGTCGGTGCAGCTCATGAAGAATGACTTGGAGATTGTGTTCTATGATGTGTTTGGCCATGCTCTACATAGATGGTCCATCTCCAAACAATATTTGCATTCCACAATGTAGCTTGGAGTATATGTTGTGTTGTTAAAATTTTTACAACTCTTTTTCTTCTTCTTTGTTTTCTTAGTTCCCACTTTTCAAGTTGTTTTCTTTATACTTTTTTAGAATTAGAATAGATAGATTTGTGAGTTTGTATCAATGATATCAAATTTTTATCACTATTTGTATATTTACTTGCATGTAGTACTCTCTATAAAATTTTCTTTTCATTTAAATTTTCATTAATTTCAATGATATATTTTGACTATTAATATTTATATTTATATATAACTTTATATTATGAAAATTATAATATTTCAAAAACATGTTTCAAATTGAATCTATTGATACTAAATTTATATGATAATTCAATGTACTTTTGATACAATTTCTAGGTAAATTCTACTAATAGTATATGGACTTTGAAAGTAATTTTAGTTCAGTATATAATTTTTTTTTCTTTACAAAAATACTTAGAACTTTAACTTTCTTTCAACCAAAATTCATTAGGAGGTTTAATTTCCAATTCACCAAACCAAATTATATGTATATATTTTTTATATAAATTTTGAACCCATTTTTTTTCTTTCTTTTCCTTCTCCTCTTTCTTCCTCTTTTCTTTTCTTTTTGTTGCCCATTCTAAGCCAAACGAATCACTGAAACTAGTTACATGTTGTATCATAATACGAAGTATATGATACAACAACAACAACCCAGTTAAATTCCACAAGGTCTGGGAGGGTGTGTGTACGCAGATCTTATCCCTACTCGAAAGTAGAGAGGCTGTTTCCAAAGAGACCTCCGGCTCAACGTCGAAAGTTGCATTGCTTGACTAACTGCTACTTCATTAATTAAAGAAGCGCAGACAGTTTAGAGATCCATTTTGATTTACTCCATCACACCCCAAAGCCAAAAAATGGTAAAATTTTGGCTCCATCGGAGATGATGGAAATATATTTATATGATATGATTTTTATCTTATTATGGGTTTCTTTATTTCCTATTCAAATACAAAATCTCATGTGTTATATGTATAAAATAAAATTAGCCTTTTGAATTCTATAGGTAGTCATTGGGATGATTTTTTATTCTATGAACATGAGGGTCTTGAGGTGAGAGTTTTCTTATATCTCATGGCTAGGCTGTTGCATGCGAGTCGAGGAGAGCGACACGATGCCACTTGGTCATATGTCCCAATAGAACAATGTGCCTCCCTCATTCGAGATTCGACGTGATTGTGGGAGATAAAATAAGAGTGAAATTGAAAAAAATTACGTGACATTGAGTTCAAAGACGAGGATGAGAAGATCCACACCCATCACATGCTTTGATGTTTATTCCTTCGATATGTATTTGTGATACTTTACATGTTGCATTATGAATTATTGCAGAGCAATTATTGGTAATTTTAGGATCATCGTCTATTTTACGTAATGTGATTTTTTTTAAATGAACAAGAACTTAATAGATGTTGTTAATGAATTTGGATGTACGAAGTGTATGCTCATCTGAAGATATTTCACTTTCCATAGCGGGAGTCTAGGGACGACAAGTCGACAACCCCCAATAGTTTGGTCCAAGGGACAGCAACCCCCAACAGGGTCCAAGGAGCTTGGAAGTCTTTTAGATTTTCGTTAATATAGTTCAAAGTAATGTACATTTGAATGTACTTCATATAAAACAATACATTCGAATATAATATTTATCTCTCACATCCAGAGTAAAAGAGTTTATTAATACATTTGAATGTTTGATCATAAAGATTTAAATGTTTCGTAATAAGATGCAATGGTTTGCATAAAACTATATAAATAACTGTTTGTATAATAGTCGTTTTATACATTCGAATGTTTGCACTCAAACATTCAAATGTTACACGAATAGTTGTATTGTTTCATCAATCAATGTTTTTATTTATTTTTTTAAAATGACACTATGTTTGCTTTTAGAAATCTGGAAGACAACAAAAAGAAAAAGAGATGAAAAACAAATTTTTTATTTGGTTAGAGAAGAAAATAAAGAAAGTTTGAAAGAAATGAAAAAAATGCAAACTGTATTAAGAAAAACAAAAACAAAATATTTTCTATTTTAGTGAAGAAAATAAAAGATTTTTTTCAACCATTAGATAGAATTGAATCCAAAGGCCCTAATTTTCCGTGCATCTAAACGGAAAGTAGCCTAATCGAGAGACCAATACAGTCCAGTCTCCAGTTCTCGAGCGAGCAAGGGGAGATACGATTTTTTAGTGGAGTAGAACGAGAAAAGAGAAAGAAAAAAAATCATTAAAAGAAAATCAAGAATCCATTAGCCAAAGCTTGAAGCTTGAAGCTTATTCACTGCTATTCACCAAAAATCACTGCAGGGAACTTATTCTTGAAGCTTTTATCAGCAGTCAAGAATGGCGGGTGAAGGCGCTGGCTCTCATAAAAGAGACCCCATCAAATCCTCAGGCATTCCTCTACCTTGAACTCCAATTCTTTAGTCATAACGTTTATAGCTTTTCATCAAATTGACACTTTGAGATGCTATGGTCTGTAAATTCGAATGTTATGCTGTGCAGTCTTATCCCCTTAGGTTTCTTTTTTACATTTAAACTTTGTAATGATTTCTTTTTTGTTCACATGGATATGAACACTGTGTTTATAATGAATTTCAAGTGTCTTCAAGGAACTGCCGCGAATTTGCGGCTAGGAAGAGCACTTTTGGTAATATTAGGAGTTAATTTAGGGTTAGTTATGTGCAGAAATGAGAAATCATTTGGAGCCCCCTCTTAGTTCATGTAGTGAGCACTGGGCATAGACTAAGGAAAACACCACGACATTGAAACATAACATGTTAGTTACCCAGCGTCATACAGAAAGTGACACTAATGATTGTAAGACATGAAATATGGGTGTTTGTGTGGTAGCCAGTTGGGAATGTTGCAGCACAAAGAAGACGAGAGAATGCGGTTACAGTTGGGAAAGAGAGAAGAGAAGCACTGATGAGGACAAAGCGCCTTTGCAGAGTGGGAGTTATTGGTGATGATTGTGATGTTTCTCTTGAATCTGATATGATGATTGATGAAGAACAATCTATTCTGGAGGCTCAGACTTCATCTTCTGTTGAACAATTAAAGCTCGCTGTTTCTCATCAGTATGACAATGCTCATTATTTTCTCTTCTCTACACATTTTTTTAAAAGTTTCTTATATTTGCCTGGAAAATCAAGAGACCATTTATTAACTTTATATGCTGATGATAATCTACATATATATATACACACATGTTATACACATTTTTTTCATCTTTTGTCTGACCTTGACATGATTATGTCATTATCAGTAATCGGTTCTTGAATTTGACTATTAGGGGAAAAGGTGCCGTGCAGAAAAGAGTGAATGCTCTTCGTGAGCTAAGGCGTCTGCTGTCAAGGTCAGCGTATCCTCCTGTTGAAGCTGCCCTAGAGGCTGGAGCTATTCCTGTCCTTGTGGAATGTCTTTCATTTGGATCTCCAGATGAACAGGTTAGAGGCATTAGAAGCATAAGGGCGATGTTAACTATGTGGTTGGACATTTCTCTTTTAATCAATATTTCGGAGGCTAGGGTTTATTTGGCATATCACATACGCCCTCCGCCCCGTATACAATTTTACACTTTCCATTTTCGCTTGTCCCAGCACAAAGTTTACTTCTATCATTGTTTTGTAGAAGGGAATATATGACCCACAACATTTCTATCTCTTCAAATCAAATTCAACCACACACTCTACTTTTCAACCCTTTTCTTAAACTTAGAGCGTAAACTTCTTTAAGGGATGGGGGGAGTATATTATATTTCTTATCAGTATGCCCTTCTGTGGTTCAAAGGACAAGAGGGGAGGAAAGGTTTTTTTTTAAAAGTCATCTTGGTTGAATGGAGTGTATTTGTTTTGCTGTTTCCAAAAAGTATGTACAATTTTGCATTTTTTATTATATATTTTGTAATAATAAAAAGGATATTAGGTATTTTTTAAAAACCTTCTAAGGTTCCACCTAATTGAGGGAGTGAGGTATGAGGGTTTTATAGTTTCTATTCCCTCTCCCACCCCCACCCCCACAAAAGCTACATTCTTGATGGATTGAATGTCAAACATGATGCCTGTATTTCTTGTTTGGATGTTATAGTTGCTTGAAGCAGCTTGGTGCCTTACAAATATAGCAGCAGGAAGAGCTGAAGAAACAAAGGCTTTGTTGCCTGCATTACCATGGCTTATTGCTCACCTAGGAGGTTAGTTGTCATTTCTCCATATTGGTTGTTTACTTATTCCGCTAATTCTCCAACTCGGTCATCTAGTTTATTTTCCCTCTAAATTGTGCAGAAAAGAGTTCATGGACTGTTGCTGAGCAATGTGCATGGGCATTGGGGAATGTTGCTGGGGAAGGGGAGGAATTTAGAAACACTCTTATCTCACAAGGAGCTTTACTACCTTTGGCAAGAATGATGTTTCCAAACAAAGGATCAACTGTGACAACTGCTGCTTGGGCTTTGTCAAACCTAATCAAGGTACTGATTGGTTCCAGCTTTTGGTAGATGTTGTAATTAGAGCCTGTTAACTTTGTGGTCATTATGATTTAACTTTGTTGGAGTTAATTTTGAATAACAGTATTCGGTTGCTTATGGAATTAAAAGCTTAATCTTGCATTGTCTTCATGAGTTGATAATAGCTTTTCTTGATAATTGAGCACTAATTATTCTATATAGGGACCGGACCCTAAAGCGGCAACTGAGTTGATAAGAATCGACGGGGTGCTTGATGCAATTCTTCGTCATTTGAAGAAAGCGTAAGCTGATTTGTTATGCTGATTGGGATGCAATTCTTCGTCATTCATATGCAAAATTTTACGTATTGTTCTAAAGTGCTTATTCCTCCCCACCCGGGCAGTGCACCAGACACAATATTTTCTTAATTGCCCCCACTTCTCCCCTCCCCTCCCCTCATTTGAACCAAACGAGGGCTAAATCATTGAATGACTATGTAGTCATGTAATGGTTCTTTCTTTTATCATTGAATCAGAGATGTTGAGTTGGCCACGGAAGTAGCATGGGTTGTTGTGTATCTCTCAGCCCTCTCAGACTCTGCCGCTGCCACACTGGCTAGGAGTGATCTCTTTCAAATCTTAATAGAAAGATTGAATGGCACGAATAGCCTCCAGCTGCTTATCCCGGTAACACCCTAAACTTAGAAATAATAATTAAAAATCGATTCAACTCTCAGTTTAGTCAAATATTATATCCATTGCAGCTGCTTATTCAACTTTGTATTTATCTGTTTCAGGTACTACGGACTTTAGGAAATCTTGTGGCTGGTGACACCGTTGTGACTAATGTTTTTCTTGTGGCTGGAAGTGAAATCACAGGCTAGTTTTCTTCTTTGTCTTCTTTCTATTCCCTGTTCGTAAAGGAATTACTCTCTTCATCGCTCGACATGAAAGTCTTTTTTGGGATGAATGAGTGGATTATTTGACCTGAAACTGCAGATGCATTTATCCAAGCACAAGTAAAATGTTTGAAAAGCGAACATCGTATCTTGAGGAAGGTAAACTATTTGTATTACTTACTACTTCCGTTGCTATAGCCTTAAACTTGCTTATTTGGTTATTCTACTTATTAGCAAAAAGGGACAATAATGTTAATAATAGTTTGTTATGGCTTATAGTTGGATGTTAGTAATTCAGCCACTTATTCTCTTACAAAATGGGTCCTAAAGATTCAATTTTTTTTTTTTTTGCAGGAAGCTGCGTGGGTACTATCAAATCTAGCAGCAGGTTCGCAGGAGCACAAGAAACTAATACATTCGAGCGACGCGCTGCCAGTATTGCTGCACCTCCTCTCAACAGCCACATTCGACATAAAAAAGGAGGTAGCCTATGTTCTCGGCAACCTCTGTGTGGGCCCCACAAACGAAGGTTCCGGAACTCCAAAGTTGATCCTGGAACACCTGGTCAGCCTTGTGGGACGAGGGTGTCTCTCTGGATTTCTTGATCTAGTAAGATCAGTAGACATTGAAGCTGCCAGACTGGGACTGCAGTTTCTTGAACTGGTAAGTGGAGTCACTCACTACTTTCTTTGCTTTCCTTGATTCAACAACAAGTAGGGCTGACTTTGGTGTGTTTGGGAAGGACAGGTTCTGAGGGGAACGCCGGAAGGGGTGGGCCCAAAGATTGTGGAGAAGGAAGATGGGATCGACGCGCTGGAGAGATTCCAGTTTCACGAAAACGAAGAGTTGAGGGGCATGGCTAATGAGTTGCTGGACAAGTACTATGGGGATGAATATGGACTTGAAGAATAGTACTAGTAGTAGTATTAGTAGTAGTGATTAGTAGAAACAATGCTTTAGTTTTAATGATATTGAATATTGATCTCTCATTTCCTCTCCTCTTGTGTGCCAAAACTCATCTTCTCAACTGCCTTTTGTACAAAAAAAAATGTATCATTGCATTTGGAATCTCTCACTTTTTTTCTCCAAAAACTATTATCTGCTCACTCTAATTATTTTTTGGAGTTATCGCTCTTACCAAATTCTTATTGAAATCTAGTTATTCGTTCCATTTTTTTCATTTAAATTATTTCTAATTGCTCGATCTCTAAAAGATTGATTAGAGATTGATTAAACTCCCTAGTCGCCAATACGGGTTTCAAACTTTTGCTCCTGTTAATCGACTGTAATCGGTGTCGGTTGTTGATCGAGTACTTTAATTTTTGGATTTTTCATTTTGCTCTAATTGAAAAGAGTAATTTTTTCAAATAATAAGAAAGACATTCTAGTCACTTTTCAAATAATATTTTCTTTTTGTATTAATAGTGGAAGAACAGATTTTTGAACCCTGCGAAATTCATAAGTTTGAAGTCACATTTGGTTAAGAGTGTTCTTCTTCAAGGTTGAGATTTTGAACCCTGCGAAATTCATACATTGCCAATCAAAAACCCTAGCCCGCCCCGATTGATGAACTTCTTCACGAAAGAGATGGCAGCTCAGCTCCTCCGCGCGTCTCCGCCGCCATCGAAATGCGTCATACCATGGCAAATCCTCGCCTCGCTCCAGCAATCGTCCTTCTTCTACTCATTATCCTTCTCCAAGTGGAGGAACCCCCGGAGAGTCACGAAACCTAAACAGCCGTCGTCGGTTGTGCCCGAGCCCTCGAAATCTGAGAACGAATCGAAGTCCCCCGACCGGCCAGGCGAGATTCCGTTCTACTCAAATGTGGCAAATTCTGTGGACCTGATCGGTTTCGTCGAATCCCCCGTTCAGTTTGAGGTTTTGCCCTACGACAGGTATGTGGCTAAGACCGTTGTTGTTTCTTCTGGCCGGGAAACAGTTGATCTGGAAGGTGATTCTGCTGGCCCTCTGGTTTCGCTTCCTCGGGTGTCCATTCCTGTTGTTTTTCAAGATGATCTCGCAGTTATGGTGAAATGCCACATAAGGGAGGATGACTGTCTTTGCTTGTCTGGGCAGTTGAGTGGAGCCTACCTGTCTTTCGTCGCACCTGGTAATCATATGAATGTCTGTCTTCTGGTCCAGTCTGTGAACTTTGTGGGGAACTTGAAGAGGAGGAAGAAGAAGCCTGTTGGCAATAAAGAAGGGGACTTGTCTCAATTGGAAAATGAAAACAATGCCATTGAGCAGCAGAATGAGGAGCGAAAAGGCCCAAATAAAGGGTTTAGAAAGAAGACAATGAAAGTGGAAGAGTGGAAGGAATGGAGGGAGCTAATCAACAATGCAAAAGAATGGAAGGACTATCGCAGAAAGAAATCCGAGGGAAGTGTGAAAAATGGGCACCCAGATTTCAAGCATACCCAGAGCGGCACTTCTCTTTGGGTTTGCAGTGCACCTAAATGGATCCTACCCGGACTTGAAGGGCTGGAGTTCAACAATGGTCCTTCTGGGAAGGCAAAAGCTAATCAGAAACAAGAGGAGAATGGAGGAGATGAGCATTGGAAGAGTTTGGTTCAGAATCCTGGGAAATGGTGGGACAACAGATCACATAAGAAGTATGAAAGATCGGAAAATTTCAGACACAAAGATTCAGGGAAAAGACTGTGGCTTGATCGTGCGCCAGAGTGGGCATTGTCCAAATTGCCCCCGCCTCCAAAAGGTGGTAAAACTGCTTCTTGATGCGTCTTTTTTTTGTTTTGCATCTGTGAATTCCATTCATATATATGTGGTTGGATCCAGCAATGATGATTTTCCAAATGTACAAGTCTAGTGAATCTAACAAAGATTGACAAAATTGATCATTGTTGAATGCCCAGATTTTTGGTGGTTCTGCATTGTGTGTTCTCTAATCTTACATAACCGGTTCTGCATTGTTACTTTGTCAATCTAGCGTTTTTGACATAACCGGTGATGGTTGAATGCCCATTGGTCATTTGTAAATTATGTTCAGCTAAAATGTGAGAAATGATGCAAGTTCTTATTATGCACACTTTTTTTAAAATGAATTACATATAGCTCTCAGTGGAGTCCCATGGAAGCTTGAATAGCTCATTTAATTTCCTCTCTTCTCCTTATTTACACCCACAAAAGAAATAAAGAATACAAATGTGCACTCAAGAGGAGCCCTAATTCACATGATTCAATAAAACATGTCAAGTCATGCTAGATCTATGGAGCATTTTGTTACTTATATCACATTGACCTTTTAGAATGAAATCTTCGAAACATTTTTAGCATCCCTCTTTCTGACGACAAAATTGTTGCGAGTTCTATAGGCTGCCAACGTTGTTTTCCATTTCACAATGTTTGGTTCAAACGAAATTTGGTGTATAAGAGCTTCTGCTTCGTTTATAGAGCCAACATGGAAAAACATGCCAACCACACACGAACAAAAAATAAGGCTTGAAGATCGGCCTTTGAATATATAGAAAAGCTCCTTTTATAAATGGGATGGGCTTTTGGCAAAGACCTCAAAGTTTAAGAATGATTTGAGTTAGAATAATGCTATCGAGTTGGTTTGCTTGCACACCACAAATGTATAACAATGTTTTGCAGTGGTAAATCACTAGTACACACCGGCATAAAATATCAGTGTTCACTAGCAGCCCCATCGGCATTTTGTGCCAGTGTACCAGTGTTTTGCCAATACAAAGCACTGGTGGACAAAGTGTTGTACAAATAGCATTACAAAAAATGCTGTGTACCTCGGTTTTGTGCATCGGGTGTACACCGTACAAAAGGCCACCCCACCCCTTGCCCCATACACCCCCTATATACATGTGAATTGATGAAGTTATGAGCCTTGATGAACTATTCTAACCAATTTCTATGTTATACCTACTGTTGATCCCTACCCCTTCTCCACGACGCTTTTTTCGATCAAAATTTTATTTATATTCCGTATATTTTTATTTTAAATGGGAAATGGGTAATCACTATGAAAGTAATAAAAGTTTTGATACTTCTTTGCTATCATTCCAGATAATAGTATAAAAAAATCTTACATTCTCTTGTTGCTTCTGCATGAGTTGTTAGTGTATGGTATTGGTATGTTTTGGTTAATTAAGTACTCGTACGTTATTGGAACAATTTAAACTCATAGCCAAAAAGAGATTGCTACCAACTTAAATATCTACTTATTTTTTATTTTAAACATTTTTTTTACAATGTGATCCTCACTGAAAACTTCGCTCTTGAATTTAGAGAAATTTTAAGTTTATTCTTAAAAACTAAACACTTACCATTTTTATTAGAAACACTAAAAAAGATTTAAAATTTGAAGTAAAGCAGGTTTTCAATATAATAAAAAATCTCATTTTTAAAGCAGATTCTTCTTTATGCCTAAGATTTACGATGCATACAGAGATGAGTCTGGTAAGCAAATGTGTATTATTGGGTTATGTATATTTAAATCCTTTCTAAAAATAAAAATTTATTTGAAAAGGTCAATAAAATATTTTTTTCGTTAAGTGCATTATAAAAGCACTCCATATTTAAATAATTGAGCTATATTTATTTTTATTTAAATGTTTTCCCATTATTTCTATTTAATTATTTTCCCCAACCATGAATCATCCCACCTGGCTAAACATTAAGGCCTTATGAAGGAAGCCCAATCTGCCAACCAATTGGGCCAAAGAAACCTGATTCCGTCAGCTTATATATATAAAGTCCCTTGCGAACGAACGGAGTATTTGCAGGATTAGGGTTTCTTCTCCAGCGGCAATCCATCGTCATCTTCTCGGCCGAAGTCGGAGAGCTCAGCAAACATGGGGTATGGTTCAAAGCTATTCTCCTCGTCTGGTCCTTAAAAATTTCTTTTTCGAATAGATTCATTATATTCAGATCCTTTAGGAGATCATTTGTGGATCTAATTATATGTATTATGGAGATCTATAGATTTGCGGTTGTTTTCACGAGTTTTAAAATATCATAAGCATTTTTCAAATGAAGGTTTCATATTCTCATAGCATGATTATGTTTTTGCTCTTTCCGATGATTTATTTATGAGCTTTGTTTTTTATCATTGGGTTTAAATTTTCATTTTGTTAGGCGTACATAACGTTGTTTATTAGGTCTAATCTTAAACTGATGAAGTTTACATGTTCCAAATCCTTTCCAGTTACTAGAGAGTTTTTTTTATGCTGTTTGTTCATTTGATTGAATGTGGCTAATCCTAACAGATTCGACAACTATTCTTAACCACATTTTGGTTGAAAATTGTGTTTTTGAGTGTTGGAAGAATATGTATTAATGTAAATGCACCTTATGCCACATTTCATATTAGAGAACTACATCTACATAACTTGTTTTGTCTTATGTGCATTCAGCTCAGCTGTTTTTATTGATCCGTTTCTATGCTTGTTTGAATTACACGCTTGTGCCTTGACCCCCTCAAACTTCTCCAAATATTGTGTAGCATAATGAATGATTTAACTGTAAGAAGATTATGTTTTATATATATTTCTGTGATTCCCTAGGAAGACACGTGGTATGGGAGCTGGGCGCAAGCTCAAGAAACACCGAAGGCAGCAAAGGTGGGCCGACAAGGCTTACAAGAAGTCCCATCTTGGAAATGAATGGAATAAGCCATTTGCTGGTTCATCTCATGCCAAGGGCATTGTCCTTGAGAAGATGTATGCCTTACTTCTCTGGTTTTCGTTGTTTTACCCCTCCTTTTGGAATTTCCAAATCTAAACTCTTTGAGAATTGCTGTGCTTCCCAATTTGCAGAGGTATTGAGGCTAAACAGCCAAACTCTGCCATCCGAAAATGTGCTAGGGTTCAACTTATCAAGAATGGGAAAAAGATTGCAGCCTTTGTTCCAAATGATGGTTGCTTGAACTACATTGAAGAAAACGTAAGCGAATCTCATATTGTTCATCTCATTTTAACTATGAAATTTTTTATCTAACCCTTTTCCATTGTTGGTTAGGATGAGGTGTTGATTGCCGGATTCGGTAGGAAGGGCCATGCCGTGGGAGATATTCCTGGGGTCAGGTTCAAGGTTGTCAAGGTTTCTGGTGTCTCACTTCTGGCTCTGTTCAAGGAGAAGAAGGAAAAGCCAAGATCTTAATTTGCAATTCCACCCCCAGTGCCTTCTTATATTTATGCTATTTTGTGTTGGTCATCAGAATTGAGCTTGTGTTTTTTTCTTTTTCATGAAACTTTCAGTTTTTACCATGTAGCAACTGTTCTGGAATTTTGTTGGCTGTTTAATTACCATGTTCTGGTTGAACCAAATGCCTGTGTTCTCAATATCCAATTTCCTAAGTAGATTACTTCCAAGTGATATAACACTTTTGCATCATTTACTGGTCTCTATAAAGGGATTGTAGCGCCCTATTTTGAAAAATACATCTGGAGTATTTAAACTTTAATGCTAGAAGAAGCCTTCCCGGACCCAAAAGAAAGAATTTTCTAACCAAAACCAAAGGAAGAGTAGTGCAGGCTTCCATGGATGTTGGAATTCCGTCCATTGCAACAAGCCGCAACGCGGCTCTTTTTCCTTCAGGCGCGGTGGTTTTTGGCTGTCTTAATTCAATACGGAGTAAAACAATACTCCGTATAATTATGTTATGTCATCTCTTATTTTTTTAAACATTTGATATAGTTTATTACTCGTATTATGTACTCCCTCCCCATTTTATGACGCATGTTTCGGTTTACGATGTTTGACTGAAATTATTTTCAAATCATTTTATATGACAAATGGTATATAGTTAAAAAAAATAAAAATTACATATTAAAATACTACATCAAAAGATCTACAAAACTAGTAGTGACAACAGTACTTTTTTTATCAAATTGCTAACGAAAATAAAGAAAGAAAGTGAATGAAATTTAACCCTGTGAATAGTGAACATGCATTATAATTTGGAACAGAGGGAGTACTTATTTTGTTCCAATTTAAATTGCTTTCTATTTATTTTAATTGAAAATTTGTGTGGAATTAAATAATAAAATTTATATTTTTATAAATTACATAAAAAATTTACAAAATAAGGAGTGACATAATTATATTTTGTCAAATGAGAGTAGTGAAAATGTGTAGAGAAAGTTGGTAAAGATTGGCAACTTAAATTGGGACAGAGTGGGTAAAATTTAATTTTAAATTGTATTGAAAATAACATCAATCAAACATCATAAACCGAATCAGGTGATTTGAATTAGTACGGAGGAATAAGAGGTTTTTTAAATCTAGTCCTTTTTAAAGACTAATGAACAATATAGCCTCTACAATTGAGATTGTTTCATTACTTGTCTCACTTAATCTATCATGTAACTTTGTAGACAAAATGTATTAAAAGCCAATCCGTTATCAGTGCTGAAACATGACCGACGGAGAACAAAAGAGAGGGTGAAGATTAACAATATTGAAGCACCTATTTCCCTCTCAACATTTTCTAGCTCCTTTTTCACGAATTAATTTACGGAGTACATTATATGACGGAGAGTAGAAACGAGGCTAATATTTTTAAATTTATTTTTACAATTTATTCTAAAGTTTACCTCTATGAATCTCGCTTGCCAAACTGTAAAAACAGGGGTGTTGGTTTTCATTCAACAATGGTCCTAGATCATAACCTATATATAGTGTCTCCTCGACAATAATTTTAGCGTTTAGCCTTAATGTTTAAAGAGAAATTTAAATAAAATGCTAATACTAATTTCACTCAAGCAAGGTTGACAGCCACACGACACGCAGACGAACATCTGGTTTCTATGATTAAGCAGCCCCTAACAAAGCAAATCCCTTTGTTTCAAACAAAAGACCAAACCAAATCCTTCGTATAAC